AGACCCCACAGCCGGCCACAGCCCTGTTTCGGACACCCTGCGGAGCCCAGACTAGGACCCCCGCACGAAACCCACAGGCCCCCCCGCACCAGACGCTCCATCCTGAGACAGATCCAAGAGCTGAAAGGCCCCTGAGCCATCCCGCTGCCCCCACCCCGTTCACTCTGGGGAAGGCGGGGAGGGGGTTCCCTCGCACACACAGCAGGGTGCACGTCCCCCGGGAGCAGCTTTGGTTTGAGATGAAGGAAAACACCCAAATCGGGCCAGTGTCCCCCCAGCCCCCTGAGAGAGCCCCAAGGGGCAGGGCCAGGGACCCCTGGGTGTTCAAAGGTGCCAGGCGGAGAAACCAAAGACAACGGTTCCAAAGCTCCCTGCGCCGCACGGACCGTAACCCCGGCCCGTGGAGGGTTTGAGCCAATCGGGGCCCAGCTTGCAAGGAACTAGTGGCCGTGCCTCAAACAATCTTTTAATTTTCGTAACTGGCATGAGAAGCCCGGAGCTGCCCAGCTGGAGGTGCCAGGTCTCCTCAGCCCTGGCATCAGTCAAGCACAGCAGCTGCCAATACCCAAGTGGCCATTCCGGGATCACATTTCCCACCGGCTGCGCCCGGCAGCTCCCCAGAAGCTCCCGGGGAAGATGCGCAATTTGGGGGCCTGCGGCAGGCCCTGGAGAGGGCGCGGCGCTGGGCAAAGGCCCCGGAGAAGCCGGAGCCACGCCAGGGCGGAGCACTGCCAGCTCCTGGCTGGGAACGGGCCGAGCCTCTGGCTCTTTGCTGGAGGAGGCGGAAGCGGGCGCTGGAGCAGCATGGTGAAATGCCACGGCCGAGTCCCCCGAGCCCAGCACGTGAGCAGGTGCCGTGCCAGTGCACCGGATCCTGCTGGTGCCGCTTGGGGCGTGTTGGCCTCTGCTATTGTGAGAAGCAGAGCGTGGCTCGTGGGCATTGTGAACGGCCCTGGGCCCTGCAGCTGCCAGGCAGAGCCGTCCTGACGCCCGGAGATCGGCGGCTCGCGGGAGGCGGGTTAAGCAGGGCTATTTCCAGGGAAGGGTTTTATCTCGAAATAAGCCCGTTTTCTCTCTCGAAATAGCGCTCTTTCGCAAGAGCGCCATCACACGATTATGCAAATGAAGCACCGGATATGTAAATCCCCGCTTCATTTGCAATTTCGGGTGTCTGCATTTGCATTCCTCTCCCTCTCGGAATGAAGCGTAGACGTACCCAGGGAGAGGGACCCGCGGCTGAGCTCAGAACCAGGCCTCTCCACGCTCACGACTCGCCTCTGAAGCCATGTTCTGCCTCCGCCTCCTTCCCTGTGCCTGCCACCCCACCGCCCTGCAGCTGGCCAGGGGCTCCGCCTGGAAGTGCCTCGGGCCAGGTCTGTGCTGGCGCAAGGGGGCCGCTCCCGCAACCCTACGCACCCTAAGCACCTGAACTGGAGAGCGGTGGCAGCCGGCAGAGGCAGATCCTGGCGCCGCGCGCTCGGCCCGCCCTGGAGCCGGGCTCTCAGACGGGAGGGCAGAGCCCCCGGGAGCAGCTCTCCGAGGGGCGGGGCGCAATCGGCGAGGTGGAGCGTGCCGGGGTCGGGGTACGAACGCCCTGGCTCCACCCAGCATCCCCAGCCGGCCCGGCTTGACCTCTCGGGCATCCGCACTGGCAGGAGGCTCTGCCTGTGTCCAGGGACCCTCCTCCCACCCCCATGTGCGGTCACTGTGCCTACAACCCAGCCCCCGCGGCTCTGGCCATGGTGTCAGGCCAGCGGCTGGGCCCAAGCAGTGAGGCACCGGGCAGGGCGCAGGCCGGGCGCCCCGAGAGAGGCTGCCGAGCGCTCGCAGCTCCCTGGCGGGCACAGCGCTCAGCCCCTCACAGAATGAGCCCCAGAGTTCAGGGCCCCCTGGGGTCTTGGTGCGGCTTTGAGGCCCCACAAGGAAGAGCTGGGCCTGGACCTACAGGGTCAAAGGCGCCAGGACCAGGGCAGGCTGCGGCTCATCCTCAGCCCCCGTGCGAGCGGACGAGCCCCGCCCCCGGCCTGGGCTGTAAATCCCATTCCCCTGTCCTGGTACCGGGGCGGCAGGTGGACCCCTGCTCTGGGCTCCCCGTGGCCCCTGCTCCTGGCCGTGGAAACGCTGGGCAGCTCCCGCTTCCCCTTCTCTGGGGACAAGCCCAGGGTGCTGCTGCTCCCCTCAGCCGAAATCCCCTGGGGGGGCCCCGGAAAGGCCCCTTTGTGCGGTTGGAGGTAACGCCCGTCGGTTCAATCCCAGCCACCGCTTGCCCCGCGTCCCCGCCGACGCCCCCTCTTCCGCAGTCTCGCCGGGGCGAGCCGTGTGCCTGGCCCTGTTGGCTGGGAACACTGGAAATCTGCCGGCCCCTCTCAGCGCCCGCAGCACCACCCCCCCCCCCCGGGACCC